TAATATCCCTTATTTTCTAACTAGAATTTCATCTATTTCTCAGATGACAACAAACTATGTATGAAATACTATATGAATTTTCCTGCCTAGAACTTTCTTATGCACTTTCATCTTTTGATTTCAAAATTTAATGATCATGTCAGCACTTAATTATCATCTGCTCTGATCCACAATTCCTTTCACATGGTCTTCACATGGTCTTCCACTGAGCTCTGGGCATCTACTTTATCTGCCTAAAAAAACCTTGAAAATAATTCTAATGCAAAGGCTGGAATTCTCCATCTTTGCTGATCCATCGCTGAACTCTGAGAAGTTCAACTGTCTCAAAGCCAAGGTGGGGCTGGGGGTATAATTTCAGTGGTAGGATGCTTGGCTTGCTTGACTAGCATCCTTGAGGCCCTTAGTTCTCTCTCTCTCCCTCCCTCCCTCCCTCCCTCTCCCTCTCCCTCTCCCTCTCCCTCTCTCTCTTTCCCTCTCTCTCTCCCTCCCTCCTTCTCCCTCTCCCTCTCTCTCTTTCCCTCTCTCTCTCTCTCTCTCTCTCACACACACACACACACACACAAGTACATCAAAGATACCTAAAACCAGAAAAATTTTTGTGTGTCATGATTATAACTTGGAATGCTGTATTTGTAATATGTTCAATATGGAATCACAAAAATTTTAAATTAAACATTTTAAAATGAGAATTACTTGATTTAGATCTCTCTCTTTATGATCTCAATAAATCAACTACCCATTTTATGACTTAGTCTCTTCCTTTTTGAAATGAGAATATTGCTGATTATCTAAATTCCTCACTAAGATGTTATAAAGAGTAAATACAATCATGTACATTAAAGTACATTGAGACCTCCAAGGCATTATACAATGCTAGTTGGCATTCACTGATACTCCTCATCCCCTTTTTCTTCATAGCCACTCAAACCCTAAACTGGCAGGAAAGAGAGGCATAGGCTTTGTGTGGTAACTTGGCTCAGGAAAATCAGCGGGTTGTACAGTGCTGTGGGGCTGCAGCAATGGCTACAAAGAACCAACGACACCATTGCCGGGTGAGGGCCAGCCCAAGTCCTGAGCCTGTTCAAACTCCAACATGAGCTTCTAGTGTCTGTCCTCCTAGGACAGCCATCCTAGCTAGGCCTCTTCTTGCCTTTGAATTATCCCAAAGTCTTGCCCAGGTGAGCTGGAAGGGCTAGCTTGCTCATCTGGGTTTTGCCCTCTCCCTGACCAGCCAGAGGGGTGGGTTTCTTGTCCCCTCATTCTTATTCTCTGAGTCAGCAGGCCCTGTAGAGACTTTCAGCAGAGCATGGCTCCCCTCCGAGAGGACCATGTCCCTCAGAATTTAATTGAGTGATCTTTGCAAGGAACTGGGGTTCCCCTTTACCAGGTGCTAGACAACGAAGTCAGGCCAAGATGCCAAGAAAGAGTTTTAGGTTTCTTCTCTCCTATCAGGCCAAAGATGAATCCTAATGATGCTTCTCCCCTCCTTCCCGTTCCTGGTCTCTACTTCTTCCCTAAACACTCTTACATAAAAGAGAGATCATTTCAGGGAATAAAGGAGATGCCAAGCTTTTTGGAAAATGATTATTCTGAAGCCCAAAAATAATTTTTTCATTTTACTTTTAATCCACACTTAAAGGATTACAATGAAACTATAATAAAGAATTACTATTCTTATTTAATGTAATCTAAGAGGTTATTTTTCAATGCTACATATGATATCATTTCAGTTCTGATATGCTGCCTGAAAGAAGGGTCTTTTCTTGATAAACCCTGCATAGAACATAGTAATTAACAACCTTTTCCCCATCTCGAGATGAAGAAACCTATTAGTAATTCTTCTTCTTTTCCATTGTAAGTCTTAAAAAGACTGTAATCTTTCTTTAAATGTGAAAAGAATATGAAGCCTAAGGCAGCCTGGATGCTAAATACAAGCAACTAGGGATAGAGAAGAGATGCAGAGGTTGAGGTGAAGGAGTTTAGAGATGTCAGAGAGAGAAGCACGGATATAAGAAACAAGAGTGACGAAGGCTCAGCTGTGCTCGGAATCATTTATTTTTTTCCTCAGTATCACGGAAGACATATTGTTAAGATGTGCTTGTAGAACAAATAAGTTTTAGAAGAAAGCTACACACACACACACAGACATAAACACACACTTATATTTTGGAAATTTTCTACAGCTACATTAATAAGGTGACCATGAAACCCTAAATAATTAAGAACACAATGGGATGTTTAAAAACTGACAACTGAATATTCCTACAAATCTGGAAAATATCTTATCTTGGTGTCCTTAGTCTTGAAGGGTGGGATGAGGTAGGTGAGGTCAAGTTAGGACCGATGACCCCTGTGTTGCCAGTGTGTAGCCAGACACTCCTGAAGGCATGAACGGTGCCTGCTTGCAGAGCTGAGTAGGGATCTGACCTGTAGCTAAGGTAATAAAAGCAACAGATACAGTGAAAAAAAGATGCCACGGTTTACTTAGCACTTAGGCATCTGAGGCCCAGCCTCTAAGTCCCTGTTATAATATCACCTAAGGAATCTCAGCCTTAGCATTAGAATTTCAAATTTGCTTTGAGTTACAATCATATCACATACTGATGATGTGAGTTAACTTATCATCCACTCTACAGAAAGAAGAAAAACTGTTTGACAAACCTAGTTTTGTGTGTGTGTGTGTGTGTGTGTGTGTGTGTGTGTTTTGATTTTAGTTTCCTTTGGTGCCTTCCAATGACCATTTGGAATTTGACATTCAATGTTTTGTTTCAGAAAAATAAGCAAGTAAAATAATCGATGTAGCCCTTGAGGATCTGTTGAAAGGCTAAGATTAAGAAGGAGGAGAAATGAAATAATGATGACATGCTCTATCTGTCCTGAGTCACCTCCTGGGGTTTAAGTCAAGCAGCTAGAACCCATTTTATCTATTCTCTGACACAGCAAACAGATGTACTGCCAGTCAAGATAGACCACAAATGGCTTGTATTTCATTTTTCATAAAAGCCTGGAATAATCAGCCTTTCCTACTGAGATGGAACTTTTCATCCGAGTAAAAATATACCAAGATTCTTGAATAGAAATGCTGGCTGTCTCACTCAGAGGGCTTCATTGTGCTAGACAGTATGGGGAACATATCAGTTCAACAGCAGCTTGAAAAATGTCAAAAATACTGCATTTCACTCATTTTTGAGTGGTCACACCAAGGGACTGTTTCTAATTTTATTTCCACCAGTTCGTTTCTTTTTTCCCCCCATGTTTTAAAAATTCAAAGATGTATGTTTTCTTTGATTAACCAGTATGATCATATGAATCAAATTCATTTTTATGGGTCAATGTCAAGATAGATTTTGTAACTTAAGGAGATCAAAATGACAGGTTGGCCTCAATCTAAGCTCTACAAAGCCTTACTGTATCAATATGGGGAAAAACAATGTATTTTTATAGTACATTTGTAAGAAAACAAGAAAGATTATATGCCTGCCTTTTCTGCTTATTAAAAGAAATCTGAAAAAAATTTCAATAAACTCAGGAGTTAATTTTCTTTAGGAGCAAAGCTTTTGGAGCTGTATGAATATTCATTTAATTAATAAATTTATTTAATACATCACTCCATTTTTTGAGTGCATTTTAATTGTCAGGTCCTGTGCTACACTCAGGGTAAGCATAAGAAAAAAACCTACACAGGTTCTTCTAGCTCCCTACAGACAAAAAATAAAGAAAAAAATATATATTTACTTATTCTGATAATTATTAGCATGGAACAAATGAGATACTCCAATGGAGATGACTTTAGATATGTAATCAGTGAAGATCTTTCTGAGACCATGTTATTTAAGATGACACTTAAAGAATAAGAAGAAGCCAGCTATATCAAACAGAGATTTTAAAAATGACAATTTCCTGAGATACATTCCCAAGGCACAAGGTTACTGTGAAGTTTCCAAATTCTCCTAAAGAAATCTACAGAAAATGTATTCTGATTCTACCTTTTTAAGTTTTGTTTTCTTTGTTCTCTCTTTCTGTAATTTGTTATTTGGGTATAGGATGTTCTAGGATGATGCTTTGATTTTCTGTTTTGCCTTACATTTGGGGAGACTTTCTAAACTTTATTCTCCAAAGTTCTGTTGCATATTTATTCCCACTCTCTTGTTCCAATTCCCAAGAACTAACTCTCTCTCTCTCTCTCTCTCTCTCTCTCTCTCTCTCATATTACGCAAAGAAAGTGAACTTTCCCCTTATATACTCACTTCATCCCCAAGATAATTGTTACACAATCTTTTTTAAAAGATTGTATTTGCTGGCTTATTTGCATTTAGGATGCAGGCTTAAATATGTAGCTTTGCTTATTATAGAAAACATTATGAACGATGTGGCTCCTCTCTGCTCCACTTTCCTCTCACATTATGACAGCCTTTGGTTTTCTGTACACAAGTCCCTTTTTCATTCTCGTTTCCTTGAGTTCCTGTACCTCCCTTGCTCAGCTTTGCATATGCTGCTCCTATTTCCCTTTTGTCCAGCTCTGACTACTCTATAAAGCTAGAGGGCTAGACATTCTTTATTTTTTCTATAAAATGATGCAGCTTTCTCTTTAAATCCTTCAGTGTGGTCTTCAGCCATACAACCCTGAATGCACCTGATCTCGTCTGTCTAAATCCTTCAGTGTGAGTTAGGTATCCTGCCTTCCACTTCTTTCTGTCACACTGTAATGGAATTGTTTATTTACACACTTGTGTCCCCATCAGACTAACAGCTGCCTGAACAGTTTTTTGAATCTTTGCTTCATCAGCACAAAGTACAGTTTCTGGACCATAGTGTTTATCATACTATGAGTGAATAAAATAGCTCACTCAATATCAAGAAAAATAAACTATAAAATGTATATAATTGTACATTTATAAAAGGAATTCATATTTTCAAGATACATTAAAACAGGTATAATTTTCAATAACATATTTTTCAAAGAAGAGTTTTATAGAAAGTAAACATCACCACTTCCTTACTTTCTTTGTTTTGCCCATGGCCTTCAGGATGGAGAGATTTAGGTCTTCAAGGGCTGCCAGGACATTCTCATATTCACCCAAGTGCTGGGAAAAATACTCTGAAAAGTGAAAACATTGAAATACATTCACTTTTGGATGTAGGTAATCATAGAAGCAAAAATCAGCCGATAATTTATTTCATAAATGAGTAAAACAAATAAAATGTCAGATATAAATGAAAACTGGAAGGCTTTCAAATGGTACTAAGGCAAGGACCAAAACTGTATAATGGATAATATGCAACAGGAGGAAACTCTTCAAAAGGAAAGGGAAAATGTGAAGGGGGTGGGGGGAAAAGGAAGGGAAAAGGGAAAAAATGGGAAAAGAAGGAAAAAAATGGAAATGAAGGTTTTGTAAATAAGGGAGAGGGGGTTGAAGGGAAGGAAGGGAACTGGGAGAAAAAGAGGAATCAAGATATACCATGTACAGGGCCAGGGATTTAGCGCAGTGGCACCGCACCTGCCTCGAAAGGGCAAGGTCCTGAGTTTGATCCCCGGCACCAAAATAAATAAATAAATAAATAAAATTTAAAAAAAAAAAATATATATATATGTACCATGTAAAGGTACAAACTCCCTTCAAAGAATGTGATCATTATGTATATTTAAATTGTACCAATAAAATTAATTAAAAGAAAAGAATTCATCTGAACCCCACCCCCACCCCTCCAGAAAAGGAAAAGAAACTCTAGAGGGTTACCATCATTCACATCATTCATGAAACAAAGTTCTTTCCTACAAAAATAGAGAAAAATGAATCCAGGACTACTGACAAGGCTGTTTAAATTAAAAAATCATTCTTGACAGTATATTATTATAGGTCTCACTAGGATAGTAGTTTTAGAAAAAAGTTGTTATGTTTTATTGCTTCTTCTGAGAAATCTTTAAGGACAGTAAGCTCTCTCCAGGTTAAGAGTAAGTGATGTCACCAACCATGAGGACACCTGCTACAGCACTGGCCACAGAACTGCTCCTATTGTGATTTATTTTTTTAAACAATTTCAAAAATGTTTCTCAAAGAGCAAAAGCCATGTTTATCTCACTGTTCAGTTAGGAGAGACAGATGGCATATTGGATATTATGATTAAAATGAAAAGCATTGAACACTGGATTGATCCCAAAATTATAAGTTGAAACATAGCAGAGAGAAATGTAAAACCTAGTATTTACCTTGAGAGATCTGTACATTTCTAGAATGAGAAAGAGCTAAACCTAACAGAAATTCATGTATTGAAAAAACCTAGGACTTTCAGGTACTAGAAATCCAGTAGCCTTTATTCTTATGAACTCTTCTTTGGATGTACAATAGTTTATTACTATTTCTAATGTGCTATAAGTATTTATAAATTGAAATTGAAATGATAAAAAATACAGCCAAGCCACTTGAGATCACTGGGATCCATCACAGCATGTCTGATGAAAACTGCCTTGATAAATCTATTCAATACTCCAGATGGAAATATTTGTTAACACCGATAGTGATAACAAGTGGAATGTGTCACTGACTGATTTTCTAGTTAATGCGAAGCCTTCTCTGAGAACAACAAAACTACAGGTGAGTAATAAATAAAATTCTAGATTATGGTTGTCAAAATACAGTCTGTGCACACATAGGTTAAAAACAAGTGACATATTTTTGACAACAAGGAAAATCCACTCTTGATTATTCAATCCTTGCATGTATGGTGAATGTCATAAAGATTTTTTTTTAGGAAGAGATTAGTTGAATGTTAAATAAGTACATACTCCTTAAATGCTTGCTTCAAAATAATGTTTTAATTCTTGGTTCTGATGCTGAATTTCTGATAGGGTTGACAAAAGGTCTGACCTTGTCTTGCAATTATTTGTGATAAATGAAATCCCTGTGGAGAACATTCTTCATGAACCAGCATGCTGCTAAAGTGGCTGTAGAATATCCATAATATGAAAAATAATGAAAAATATCAGAATAGAGTACATTTTGTGTTGAAGCAAAAAAAGTAAAGCACAAAACAAGAGAAGTCAGTACATTTTAATTTTAATATATACACAGACTCAAAGAGTATCATATAGGAGTTTTAAATGTAAGTAGACAGAAATATATAAATGGAAAACAAAAGTGAATTTGGTTCTAAAAATTTTATAAGAAGCAAAAAACAAAGGGTAAAGCTACCCTTTAAAACAAGTATTTTTTCAAAGCTGAGATATTTGGCTCAGTCAGCTGAGGTCTCTGCAGAGAATTTAAGTTTTATTTTGACTTTGGAAATCACATGTAGGGACAAGTGCCATGTAGCATAGCCAAGTGGGGCTCCAGGGAACTTGAAGAAGGAGGTTGGAGGAAAGGGTCAAACACATCAAACATAGATAAAGGGAGATAATTCCCTTCCACTTTATCAGGGTTGGTGTTCATTTACTCTTTCCAAGACCCAACATATTCTTTTTTAGAGCCTTTCAGGTGCCAGTTGCTATACTAGGAGTTTAGAAAACAAAGATGAAAAGACAGAGCCACTACCTTTAAGGAGTCAAGGCTAGGTGGGGGAGATAAACATTACAACAGACAACTGCAATCCACATAATCATTGTTCAAAACAATGATTCAGGAGTGCAAGTCTAAGATGTTACCTGAATACAAGGCAAAGGATGTTCAAGTTTGCCTGTGTAAGTTGTAGAGGGCTTCATAGGGCAGACACTCACAATGGCTCATTAACAGCTGAATAAAACTTACCCTGCTAAGTAATCAAAGAGAAGGTATGGAAGCAGGTGATACCTGTCAGTTTGCTGGAATACATGTATTTCAACATTACTAGGAGATAAAAGGCAGGACTGACAGATGTTTTAGGCTAGGAGGCAGTAAGGGCATGGGGTGATAAAAATTCAGTGGTGAGACAGCAAGATTGATGTGCTGGAAATATCCATTGCTAGGGCTCTAACTTTCATCCCAAGTTTAAGTCAGTGTTTCTGATCATCTGGAGATTCCTTCCATGCCTCTCCATTAAAAGAGCGGCCTCTTGACCAGAGGTAAGAGTTTCATGTTGGAACTTGTTAGAACAGAGCATCTCAGGCTCACTTGAGACCTGCTAAGTCAATCTGCATGATATTTATTTACTTAGTGAGATGAGGTCTCATTATGTTGCCCAGGCTGATCTTGAACTCCTGAGTTCAAATGATCATCCTGCCTCAGCCTCCAGAGTAGCTGGGAAAACAGGCACATAGACTATAATCTGCATTTTAATAAGACCCTCAGGTGATTTGTAGTTACATTGAAATTTGAGAAGTACTGTTCTAGGGTGCTTGCTGGAAATTAAAATCCCTGGTAAAGCCTCATCTACTAAACTAGAATCTTTGGATTGAAACTCAAGAATCAGCATTTCCTATAGTTTTTCAAGGAGATTATGATGTGCAAATTAAATCTGAGATGTTATGGGCAATGAGTAGCCATGGAACTATTTTAAAAAGGGGTATGTGACATCCTAAAATTGGATAATTTGATAAGTTACCCAGGAAGTACTGTGGATGACTTGGTGACACCATCAAGAGAGAAAAAGGCAGCACCAATTGCCAGGAGTGATTTCATTACAAGATGAGGACCCTGAGTCGGGCCAGGGTACAGGGTAAAAGAGAGCAGGTGTCTGAAGTTCCAGCAGTGTACTATACATCCAAAGTGTGGCAAGGAGGGAGTGAAGGTCAGTGATGGCTTTGGAAGTGGCTGAGCTTTAACTAATGTTTCATTCTTGAGACTCATGTTTCTTATTGAACCACGATGTCAGTGTGAGCTGGGGAAATGTTTTGTCCTTAAGTCATGGCACTACAAAAAATAAAGATTTGGGACAAAGATTGGTTCTCTATAACTCCTGCTTTTGGGTAATAAGAATCACTTCCTGAGCTGGGTGTGGTGGTAAACGCCTGTAATCTCAGCACTCGGGAGGCTGACAAAGGAGTATCTCCATGAGTCCGAGGTCAGCTTGGGCTACATAGTGAGTTCAGGGCCAGCCTGAACTATAAAGGGAAACTCTGTCTCAAACCCCACCCCCTAAAAGAAGAATAACTTCCTGGAGAAAAGACCTAATACTGAAATGCTCATGTGGGTCCCATGGGCTTACATATGAGAACTAATCCTCACCAGTTAAAAGTGACAGACTTCAAAAAGTAAACAGAGCTGGGCATGGTGGCACACAGCTGTAATCCCAGAACTCTGGAAAGCTGAGGCAGTAGGAGTACAAGTTCAAGCCAAGCCTGGACAACTTAGCTACTATTATGGCTTGTATCTAGATGTCCCTCCAAAGCCTCATGCAGTCATAGAAGGGGATTTTTGGAGGTAGCTGGATCTGGAGAATGTGATGCTGGGATCAAGGATGTGTGATTACTAAATTAGTTCACTGACTGGTTTGGCATAGTTCTGGGTAGGATTAAGGGTAACCTACCCTGGGTGTGAGTGCTATCCACCTTAAGGGTAAGCAGGCTGGATAAAATATAAGGGATAGAAAAAGATTTGCTGTTGTCACTTGCTGCTTGCTGCCATTCTGCCTTCTGCCCCCTGCCTGCCATGAACTGTTTCTCCTCTGTGATGCAGAGCAGACCAGGAACTGAAACCTCTTACAAACTGTAAACCAAATAAACCTTTCCTCCTTTACCTTTGGGTGTCATATATTTTGTCTCAGCAATGTGAAAAGTAATTAAGACAAACTTCGTTACCAAGAGTGAGGTCATTATTGTGACTATAACTGTGGGTCAGGAGCCTTTGGAACTGGCTTGTGGGAAGAGTTTGGAAAGTTTTGGAGATGTTGGCTGAAGAAGCAGCTGAGGAATACCTTAAGCTGTACTTGATGGGAGATTTTGGTCAGCCCAGAAGACCAGAATGCTGGTAGAAATGCTGTCTATGAAAAAAAAAAAAGAAATGCTGTCCATGAAGAACAAGTTCAGAAAGTTTCTGCTGGGAAGAGGACTGCATTGCCTGTTGGACTCCACATGACGTGTTCTGCCTTGGCAGAAAGTCTGTCTGCATTTTGTTTTGTGTTCAGAGACACAAGAGATTTTTTTTGAGTCTGAGATTAAGGGTCTCAGACTAATAAGTCTTGCAGAAG